GAAAGCATTTAGCAAAAGTGAGAAGTCAGATTATTAAGAGCCATGCTTAAAAGTTAGAGGTTTGATCTTTTCTGAAGACAATAGGAAGCTAATAGTTTGAAGCTCCTTTCTCAACTGACACATTGGCATCTTAGAAATGGGTTGAACTGAAACCAGTTTGTGTGTGAACTGGTGTAGAGTGAAGTTAAAATGAGGTAAAGCACCACTGTGAACCTGTGAAAAATATATACTATTGTTCTGAGTTAAGCAATGGCAACAGTGCTAATGAGTTAAAAAATAGATCTGAGATAACTAACTAGACGAGAAGGAAAATGCAGAGGCACTGGTGGTTCAGTGAACAAAGAGGCTAGTAATGTACAATGAATTCCAAGTTTTTGGCTTTGGTTACTAAAAATATAGCAGTACCACCTGCAGCAGATATAATCTGGCAGAAGAGCAGTGAACACAGATTTAGCCTAATTAAGTTAGTGTTGCCAGTGGAACACTGATTGGGTGGAACTCTGCAATAACCAGCCAAACATAGGAACGGCCAGGTGAAGGGCCCCTTCAGAGTCAGTGAAAACCCTGGGGGCTACAGAGAGTGAGAAAAACAGGTTCAAAAGATGTAAGGGAAAGAAACCTGAGCATCCTGGGGGGGAAAGCTCTTAATTCATATTAATACTTCCTAAAATAAAAATTTAAAATATATATACTATTTACTGAAAGTTGACTTCCAGTAGTTTACAAGTAACTCTGGTAAAATTGATTTATAAATATTCATAAATGCAATACATTCACAGAGGATGATATGATATTTGAGAAAAATCCTGTCTGGCAAATGTTGGGAAAGAGAAAAGTATTTTTGGTGGGGGGAAGAATGGTAGTAAATAAACACAGACAGGAATTTACTGGGAATTGTTTCAGAATGATTAATATTTTAATTGATTGTAATTTTGCTAACATACATATAAAAGAAGGAGATAAAGATGGCAAAACAGATTCGGACAAACCAATGGAATTTAAACTTTGTTACACTGACATAAATTTTTTGCTAAACATAAATTGAAATAATTGTGTAATTCATCCAGACAATTAATTTACATAGCTTCACACATAGGAGAGGAAAACACTTTTTAGCACGCTATTCACTTCCATCTTAATACCACTATTTAAAAATTTTGGAAGTGAGTTATAATCTAAATTTACTTACATAGAAATTTTGCTTTGGCCTATATCATCATATTTATATTCAAAAGAAAATTGTGATTAGAGTTTTATGCTCTAGAGATGGATTGGTTCAGCACAGTGGATGATTTCCTGAAGACCACTGATGCATCCCTAAAGCAATTTAGCTTATTTAAGACACTGATGTTTATAACACAAAGTAAAATACATCTTGGCCACTTCTTCATTGGTTAAAATGAAATTGTATGGCACTGTTATGAACTCCTTACACACTGTGCTTTAAAAATGCAGTTCTATGTTAGCGTGTTTGAATAAATTGATTATGTACTATACTTATGGAAAGAATAATCAGAATTCAGACTGTCATACTTTCATTCTTGAAGCACTGAAATGAGAGGCTTGATAGCAAAAGATGTTATGACCCAAAAAAAAGATGTTTTTTATCTGTTAGGTTATCACTGTTGTTCTATAATTAGTCCATCTGGAAAAGCATGTCATTTTAGCACAGAATATTAGACAGGCAGTATATTTGTTTGCACATTAAATCTTACATGGTCTGGAACAAAACCTAAGGCCCAGCACTTTTGGGAAAAGGTACAATTGAACTAAATCAATGAAATGTACTAAATGGCTATAGACATGCATTTTTGAGTAGCATTAACATTTTATTTTAGATCACATCTATAAAATAAATAGAAAAATGTAAGGTAGTTAGAATTTTTTATTAAGTCATTTGTTACTTATGGTGTATGATACAAGCTTCTTATTACAGCATATATATATATATATTTTTTCAAAGTAAGGATGAAATGTAAAGTTTCTGATAATTTTTAAAAAATATTGCCATTATATTCTCAAGATGACTATGTCCTATAGAATAAAATTGTGCAGCATAAATTAATTTATTTTTATAAAAGAGTTGCTAATAAATGTGCTAAAAATACAAACATTTTCATTAAGGTTAGAATTAGGAAATTATGCTGATGTAATTGTTAATTATATTTTAATTTTACACTATTAAATCTTAAGCTATTTATCACTATTAAAGTATTAACAATATAATTAGAAGAAATAGGAGGTAAAATATTAAACTGAAATTATAAGTGATATAAAAATCAAGAAAATCTACAAGATACTAACAATTAGGGACTTCAGTAAATATGTAGATACGGGATAACAAAAATATTAATATTTTTACTTCAGAAATAATCATCATAACATGCAATGGCATGTTTCTCTTTAAGCCTCAAAGCCAACAAAAGCTGACTGGCCTTTCACAGTGTGTGTGTAAAACGTTTGAAAACGTGCTTCATGCTTAAAATATGTAATTTGTGTGTGAACTGGTGTAGAGTGAAGTTAAAATGAGGTGCAGTACCACTGTGGACCCGTGAAACATATATACTCTTGTTCTGAGTTAAGTGAGGCTTTAAACACACTGGGAAGATGCACCATTATTCTGTATAAATGAGTATATTAGTTAAATACAATTTTTAGACAATTTGCAATAGGACTTTTTGTGGGACTTGAACAACTGATTCTAAAATTCTTCAAAATTGTCAAGAATATAGGTATGTAGGGTCAGTGGAGATTGCCATTTCAAATTTCAAGGCATATCGTAAAGCTGTAAATGCTGAAATTGAGTCATGTCAAAATGAAATGGGCAAACGTATGAACCGCATGTAAACTTGACAAAAATCTATGTGTGTATGTGAACTACACATATGGCGGAGGTAGTTTTGCAGATCAGCAGAGAGCAATCTCTGTTCGACAACCACTACTGGAATGATCGGCTGTGCACACCGGAAACATTAAACCACATCGCTGCCTGACCCGTGTGCACCCCAAAGCTCACATGGAGACAGCATCGAACATTTGCAACATCTCACACAAAACACAAGAGAATGTATTGTTTAATCTCAAGGCTGAAAAGGATAACCTAAACAGAGCATAGGAAGCATAAACTTCAAAGAAAAATATAGATATCTTTGAACAAAATCAAACATAACTTCTGTGTATGGCATTAATCATAAAATTGCATTAACAACAAAATGTAGAAACAGACAATGACCATTCTTACAGAAAAGGACAGTGATACATTTACATATGTAAATGATATGTGAGAAGACTGTACAGAAAATAATGTAAATGAATAGATGTATACACACACATATACACATACGTTCTGAATCATAGTGTAGAGCTACATTTAATGAAAACAGGTAAGTTGCATAATGATGCAAATAGTGGGATAGCATTTATATAATGTAGAGACAAAAACAATAATAATTTTTAAAAATTTTGTATTTCTGAATTTGTATCTGTAGAGTGGGAAGCAAAATGAAACTGATAATGGGGAGAAAATGACTTCAACTTTATAATATTTTCTAAAAGAACTGTAAAAGGGCATTTTTCTTTAAAAATTATAACATGAAAGCCCTGGCTGAACGGCTAGTTGGTTGAAGCGTCACCCTGTATATCAAAAGGTTTCAGATTCGATTTCTAGTCAGGCCACACACTTACGTTGAGGGTTTGATCCCCGGTCAGGGCACATGTTGGAGGCAACTGACTGATGATTTCTTTTCACATCATTTCTCTCTCTCTCTTTCCTTTTCTCTCTCAAATCAATAAAAATATCTCCACATGAGGATTTAAAAATTATAATATGACAAAACGTGTACAAATGTAAATTTAGAATTGTTAGTACTTAAGATTTTCTCCTTTTTGTGCTTTGTAGTATGTTTCTTAATTTTTTTCGAAAGACAATCTTATCTGAGTGTTACAAATAATAAATGAGTAAAAGAAGTGTTGGCATTTCTAGGACAGGAAGTCTCTGTGTCCTTTCCTCCAGAATAAGAACTCTTCAGCAGTAACTGGCATGCTCAGAAGTAATTGTCCTAGCTCAGGGGACACGGAACAGTGCCACTGCTGCAGGACTGCAAACCGAAAGACGCACCACCACCATACAGCAGGCTGCTTCTCAGTTAGGTCTGCCGGGGCTTGGTCGGATGGGAAGAATATAAATCGACTACAATTATGGCTCCTCCACCTTGTGAGATAGGAATCAAAACAGCATTTATGTTCCATTACAGAAAAGCATAAAATAATATTTTTGTAGAGGTGATTTTTGTGCACCAATATTTGTATTTTTTGCAGTTTATGCCTTTCACTCCATTTTTATTGGAGTAATAAACCCTATTTCACTCCAAGATATTTTTCTTAGTCCATAGTCAATGATTAAATTATAGACTATTAATTTTCCTGGCTGAAATATATATGTATATATACCTGTGTGTGTATATATATATATATATATATATATATATATATATGTATATCATGTATATAGAATAGTTTGTTCTCTCTCAAGATAAGAATGAAATGTGTTTAGGTAACAAATTTTATCTTTGTTCAATCAAAAGTCTGATTCTTCATTGGATCTATTTCTAACTGCTAATATAGCCACATTTAATTGAGTGAGCTACAGTTTGTATCTTTCAAGGTCATAATTGTAATAGAAATACTAATTAATAGTTAGCACTTATGGACTTTTTATCTTCTGAATACTTGAACAGCAATTAGTTTAATGCTCTCCAGAACTATGGGGACCCTAATTCCTGCAGGATCAAAGGAAGGTTGTACCAGGCTCTTCGGGAAGGAAATTCAATCATGGTGTTTTCACAAACATTTGCAATATTCAACACAAATGAGGAAATAAAAGGGCAAAATATAATTCAGCTCCTATTTATTGTGAAGTTGTTGATTTCTAGGGAGAAATGCCCCATTTCTTTCCTAAATTAAGTCATAATAAATTAAACTCTAAAATGTGTGGAGTTTAGTCCTCCTACGGAGGCCTGTCTATGGTTCCCTATCTTTGGATCCGTAAGAACTGGAGGCAAAGAAATGTGCACTGGGAGAGGTCTGGGGCCAGCGTGCTCCCTGCAGGCCCAAGGTCAACGATCCCGTATAGAGAAAAAAAGGAAAACAAAGAAGAAAAAAAGTGTGCAATTTAGTCGTTTGTGGTACTTCACTGAAGGAAAGCCAGAAGTAGGGTATACATCTGCTTATAATGCAGTAGGAGTTTGTCAATATATATTATTTTTCCATATTTAAAGTTTTTTTATATTTCATTTGCTAAGTTCGAGAAAAATGAAATCCTTTGAAGAACAACCTATCATGTTATTAATTTTTTTGGTGATGATTGTTTTGAGCATTGAGACCATATTTTTGCTATGATATAAATTTCACTTTTCTCTTATGATTTGGAACATTCTGGGTATTTACAATTAATTAAAACCAGACATTGAAGATTACACATGTAGGCAAGAAAATGAATCAGCATTTTTGTCTCTAAATTAATGTGATGCCCCCAAATTTTGATACAGTGATGTGTGTGAGAAAAATGTTAACTGCAAAAAAACTGTATTTATTATTCTTTTTAAAATGTTTTACTTTTAAGTGATTGAAAGTGTTCTATTTTTACCTTTGATTATATAATTGAAAGATATGTCTATTATATAACTGTTGATAGAGCACATGTTTCTTATAGGAAAGGAACAGGAATGATTCACCTGAACATTTTGGATGGATTCACACCCCAAATTAGCATGGCATATGGATAAATGTGAATCATTCCTCTCTACTTAATCAGTAGAGAGTGTCGTCTACCGTCCTTGCAGAAAAAGGAAAAAGCCATTCTTCTCTGGGGATTTGGCTGCCTAAAGTCAGTAAGGATGCCATCTTTTTTTTTTTTTTAATGAGTCAGGTGATTGTGTTTTTGGAGGATTTCAATTTAATTTCATAATCATGAGCATTCCTTTCCTTCCCTTCCCTTCCATTCTCTTTTTTTCCCCTTCCCTTCCCTTCCCTTCCTTTATTTTTTCCTTCTCTCTTCTCTTCCTCCTGTTTGCTTTCTTTCTTTTTCTCCTTTTCTTCTACTTTCAAACATCTATGGGTGTTTAGTTGATCAGTCCCCAGTTTCACCACATGCAATTGTTTTGCTGGTGCTATGCAGGGTCCCCGCATAGGTAGCTTCAAAAAGTACTTTGTACTGAGTTTGCATCTGTAAGTGTTCACCTCTTGTCTATTGGTGAAAAGTTTGATGTGCCTTGCTAAAGCTGTGCCTCAATGAGAAAGTGAGGAGGTGCGGCAAATTTAGTAAAAACTGTTATTAATAAAACAACTATTTTCCTCTTGAAATAATCATTTATATTTATCAAAAAGCTTAATTTGCTATGTAACTTTTCCAAATATTTAAATACCTGCTTCACCTTATAGTATACATACATATATATATATGTGCAATAAACATAATTAGGTGATGCTTTAATTAAAATAAAGCTAAGTAATCAGGCATCTGCCATTGATCTATTTATCCAAAGCCTAGTTTATCTCTCAGTCTTTGTTATCATTTGGCTACTTTTTATCCAGCATTTAGGGCTTATTTTCTCGATAAGGGGACGGCTACATGCCAATAATGAATTCACTAATGAAGAGCTTCAAGGATCAATACAGTTTAAATTCCTTCTCAAGGGCTTGTCTAGAAAAAAGATTCACAGAGAAATAATCCATTTTTTGAACAAAACTTGTTTCTAGTGATGGTACAGGTTCAATAAAATACTGACATAACCTAAGGAAAGATTTTCCAACATTGCCGATTCTAGTGAGGACTGACGGTGACAGAGAGGTTTAATGTCCTGCTAGTCTAGAGAATTAAGGAAATTCTAACTCCATTTGTTAACCTGTTTATCAAAAATAACTCCAGCATTTCTGTGGTAGACTAAATAATAGCCCCAAAGATACTCACATCCTACTTTCTTATACCTGTTACCCTATACCACAGAGGAATTTTGCAGATGTGATAGAATGTCTTCAGATGAGATTATCCTGGATTATCCAAGTAGATTTTGAATGCAATCTCAAGTGTGCTTAACAGAAAACCAGGGGAAGATCTGAATACAAGCGAGTAGAATACCATGTGACTGTGGACACAGAGATAGTAGGGATACAGCCAGAAGCCAAAGAACATGGGCAGACTCTAGAAATGAAAGAAAGAAGCTCCAGATTCTTGTCTTGAGACTCTAGACAAAATAAGCTTTGTTAAAAACTTGACTTTAACTCAGTGAAACTGATTTCAGACTTCTGACCTTGGGAAGTGTAACAATAAATTTGTGTGTTTCAACCCACCAAGTTTGTGCAAATCTCTTAAAGCATCGATATGAAACTAATATAATATCATTTAAAACTTTCCCTTGTTAAAAGTTTACATAACACTCTAAAGCAATGCAAATGGATCTCACATGTATGAAACACTTTTCTCTAATCATATGTCTACACTTCACTTATTTTGATAATTAATTTTTGGGCTTGTGCTTCTTTGTTTAGTGCACTTAGACTTTTTAAACTTAGGTTTATTCCCTTTGTAATTTTCCCAAAGCAATCACCAACATTATTTTTTTCTACCTGTAAGACAAATGAGTCACTGAATTTTAAGCAAAGCTTGTTTTTTAAGTAAGTACATAAAGTTAAAGTTATTTTAGTAATATGTTTATAACCAAGACATTTGTCTTCAGAAAAATAAAACATTCTCTGTTCTGCAGAGATAATACTTAAAAATTCAAAGCAGAGATGTTTCTGTTTTAGAATGTGATTGATATCTTGCTATCCATATTTGATTGAATAAATTTTACAAAGTTGACAAAAATGCAAGTCATATACTATTTTGGTAGCAGATTACAGAGTAAACTACTAGTCACACTCATAGAAAACTCAGTGTATGTACATCAGAAATATTCACAAAATTATTTAATAATTACACAGAGCATAGAAATGCATATGAATGAGTCTAAATGTATAGTTCACCTTGTCTTATAAACATTACTGACTAGCCATGGGAAAGAACATCAGAAAGCCTAGATTTAGTTTCAGTTGGATTGAGTCACCTGAATCTTTGAACTGCAGTTTTTCCTAATAATGTGGGAAGATTGGGCTGCATTACTCCTCTTGGTTGCAAAGATTCTGTCAGATTAATGAGAAAAATTTCTCTCTGTGATTATCTCTAAAACCTAGTGCCAGACAGTTAAGGCTTGTTTGAATCAGCAAGGAACTACTTATTTGGTTCCAAACCAAAAACTACAACCAGCCTGTTATTCTCAGAAATATGGGTTTAGTGTCTTTCTTTATAATTGTACATATATGTGGTTATTCTCAAAGATAGATAATGATTTTTAAAGCTACCACCAAAAAAGGTAAATCTTACTAAATAGTGCTCTGTGTATTAATGACTTGCAATTATAATAGTTTAGAAAAATACACTCTTAATGACACATGAGTGTCTTCATGGGGGTTATAGAGATCCTTGTGATTTACCCACCCACAATCCAATCCAAAAATGGAAGACAAATGGTAAGTTACCTGGCATGTGTTATGTAATCCTTAGTACTTTTAGTTCCTAAATAAAATCCAAGGAAGTTTCTTGTGTGTACATGTGTGTAGGTTATGTATATGCATGCACATATGTGGTTACCTGCAGGACATGGGAGGTGGAGATTGTTTGGTTGTCTATAAAAGGATGTATGTAAAACTGGTCTCATATCCATGCATATATGACAGGAACTTTGATCTACATTTTCCCATAGGGAGATGTACCAGATTTTATTGTGATTACATGAGTACTTCAAGTCAGAGAAGTTTTTTTTCTTGGGATTTTGTACAAATAATGCAAGTCAACATTTGCACAGCATTTTAAAAGATGAGTGTGGCAGAGGGCCAGGGAGTGTGAAAAGAGAGAAGACTTTATAAGGAATTCAGTATCAGTCATTAAGGAAACCTGAACATATGGGCCACTGACAATTTTCCCACAAAGCACCACATGAAAACATTAGACAAAGAGCAATTGAAGGTGAGCCCTTCACTATGCCAGCTAGCAACGCTAACCCTGCATTTTCATCGTCCCTAGTGCAATCAGGTCTCCTGAAAAGTTGAAAGAGCATTGCACCAATGGCATACGGGAGTTTCCTTTGTTCCACAACCCCAATGCTTATCTTTTGACTTTTGGGTATTAGCAATTCTAACAAGTGTGAGGTGATATCTCATTATGGGTTTGATTTGTAATTCCCTGATGAGTAGTGCTATTGAACACTTTTTCATATACCTATTTACTATTTGTATTTGTTGTAAAAAGGCCTATTCATATCATTTAAATCGGGTATTTTTTGTTTGCTATTGAGTTGTATGAATTTCTTATATTTTTTGGATATTAATCCCTAATCAGGAATATAGTTGTGAGTGTTTTCTCCAATTTTAGAGATTGCCTTTTCACTCTGTTGATTATTTCCTTAGCTTTTCAGAATACATTTTAGTTTAACATAGTCCCCCTTATTATTTATTTATTTATTTATTTATTTATTTATTTATTTATTTATTTAATTTATTTATTGTGGCTTGTGCTTTTGGTGTCAAATCCAAAAAAAATCTTTATAAAGTCCAGTGTCACAGAGTTTCCCCCCTTGTGTTTTCTTGTAGAAGTTTTATGCTTTTGGGTCTTACATTTAAGTCTTTAATCCATTTTGAGTTGATTGCTATATAAGCCAAGGGTCCAATTTCATTCTTTTGTATATGGCTGTTCAGTTTTCCCAACACTATTGAATGGGCTATCCTTTTCCTAATTGTGTAGTCTTGGCAGTGCTGTCAAGGATTAGTTGATGGTATATGTGTGGGTTAATGTGTCAGTCAGGGGGATATAATAATCAATTCTATGCTTCAGGAAGGTTAACGTGGCTGCTGTGTTGGTGTTGAAGGATGAATGCCCACATACACATAATCAGGCCATCAAGCTTGGTACAGGGGAGAAACAATGTGTAATTTGACTTTGTTTTACCACAACACCAACACCATCTATGTTTGGATAGATGCATAGGAGGTGTTAAAAATATTTGTTAAAATGTCAAATGGTTGGGTTAAGACAAGTCG